CTTTCCAATCACAACACCATTAATACACTCAACACTTATCACTATTTCCACTGTTTTTGGCCTAAATGTCAGTACATGACACAAAATAAAAATTATTTTAATAAACATTCAATTGTAAAACAATTTAAATGTGAGTTTAATAATTGCGATAAAACTTTCACAACCAAATCAAACCTTTATAAACACAAAAATAGTGTTCATTTAAACGTGAGATATGTATGCGATTGGAGTGAATGTCGCAAACAGTTTGTACGAAAAGGAGATCTAAAACAACACAAAAGTAGTGTTCATTTGAATGAAAAGAAATTTAAATGTAACGAAAAAAATTGTGGCAAAAGTTTTGCTAAAAAGTCGGGACTTATTTGCCATAATCGCATCCATTCGGGCGAAAAGCCATTTGTTTGTCATTTCAACGATTGTCTCAAAATATTTACACAAAAATGAAACCTTATTCGACACGAAAAGCGTATCCATTTGAATGAGCTTTTTGTGTGCGATTGGCCTGAATGTCGGCAAACATTTAATTGTAAAACAAATTTAAATCGACACAAACGTACTGTACATCTAAATATAAAAAGATATAACTAATGTAGTAACAAATATTATGAAACAAATAATATTGTATCTATATATCATTTAAAATTTTGCGATTCAAATAAATTATTCAACACATAAAAGTTTTTATTTTTCAACATTTACTAAATGTTTTTAAATATCTTTTATTTTGTAAAGAAATTAGTGTAATAAGTAATAAATATGTTCAAGCTTAGTAATCAAAAGTATACTTTAACTCTGTTTTCATTACTTTATTGATTCAAAATCTAACATTAAAATGATTTAAAGTATACAATTTAATTAATTAGTTAGTTTTAATTAATAATAGTAATTAATTAATTTAATATTATGTCAAAATAAAAAAAAGTGTAAAATTGATTAGGGTTATAATTAAGATTATTTGTTAAAACATACTTTCATAGTTAGACAGTGTAAGTGTGTCAACATTTTATTCAAGTATTTAATTTATAATTATGAAAAAGCTTGAGATTCCCTGGTAATATTTAGACTAAATAATATTAAATCAATATGTGCTAATTAAACTATATGAAAACTATAATATATACCCCGTACCTACATTTATAAATAAAAATAGACTTGCTCGCAAAACATGTACTAATAAATAATCACCTAACATTTAATACACAAAAATATTAGCCATGAGATGGCTGGGCTTAATGTCCTGGCTCATTGTGGGCAAGTCAAACACCTCCAACAGTAGGGGATGTTGTGCCACAATCTTGCGATCAATTTCGAGACAGTTTTGCACCTTTTTCTCGGCCAACACTTCCAGATAATACAAACTCCGCAAAAGTCGCTGACATTTCGCCTGAGACTCGGTTTCATCGCGATATCGCAATAGTAGATAGCGTTGCAGTAAATACATGTATGTTTGCTGCTGGACCCTGGTCACAAAATATTATGTTACAATATATATAAAAAAAGTTACCAGGCTACTTATAATTCATTACTTACTTGACGGAATCTCTATGCGTAAGGTTAGGTCGATTGGGGTTAAACAGTATGATTGCCGTCAACTGTAAACAAAACATTAAGAATATACTATTATTTCATTTTGTTTGTGCATATTATTTGCTATTTAAATTGTACCAGATCCAAAACTACAGTATCCGAGTTCCAGTCGTTGAGAATTTTCTCAAAGAATATTCTGTATAATGAGTGTATATTCCGGGGATAGTATTGCATGGACTCCAGCCGTAGTATAACTGAATGCCTATTTTCCTAATGAAATGCAAAAATCAATATTATTTACAATTTAATTTGCATGTATGTTGCAAGTTATTACACATTATAATAGTTATTACGATAATTTATCATTGATAAATAAATTATAATTATATGTCACACGTATATAATGGTACACAGGTACTTAAATTGACAAACAAACAAGCTTACTATATAACATGAACTACATAATATAATAATTACTATTCACTACGGTACATAATAATTATTATGTTACAAGTGCACGCTAATTAAATCTTAAGTGTAATACGAGTGCATGTTATAAAACATGACATACCATAACGACTGTCCAATAGTTATGCGTTGAGTCGTAGTTATTGAGAGACCTGAGTAGGTAGAGCTCAATGAACCCGTACTTTATGAGCGACACCTTATCGTTTTCGCAGAAACTTTTGAAATGTATTAAGTTTTTGCACATTTCGATGATTTTGCGCAACTGGTGCTCAAACCGATAGCTCAGCACACGATAGACTTCCGGGAAGTACAGCTCCTCCGTAGGCCTAGTCTTGTATCTCTCGGTGAATATACTCATCGCCGATAGGAGTTCCGCCAGACGGTCGCCCTCTAACTCATTGAATTGATTTCTATAGTCCATAAGCGGTCGATGGATAGGTATGACCGACACCTCCTGTCTCTCAGGTATATGGATGTCAGTCATGATCGCCGAAACGTCTATGATATCAGGGTCTGCGATATCCATGTAGTCGTCGGACACGCGATAAGTGGTGTATAGGGGATGGGACGCGAAGTCATGGTATGGTATGTCTGGGGAACCGGTGTTCGTGTCGGAGCCCGTGCTATAACTCTCCACTGAATCGCTTCTCCATTTCACGGCATCGGGATCTGGTTTGATGGAC